TACACCATTTAATCCAACTTCTAACCGTTTAACCATTGATTTCTATCGATTAAACTCATTTCGAGCTAAAATGGAAAAAGATGGAAAACATCCAAACAATCCAAACACACACATACATAATCATATACATTGGTAAGATAATAAGATTTCACACCCTTACCCGATTAATCGAACTCTAAAAGTTGTTCTTGATGATTCCAAGTTTTTCCTCTATTTTCTCCTCTTCTCTCTTCTTCCTTCTTTCTTTCTCTTCTTTTTCCTTTCTCTCTATTTCTATCCTTTTCTTTTCTCTTTTCCACTTATATCTCTTCTATTCTATTTCTCTCCAAACATCTACTAATCCATTTCTCACAAAATATCTCAACTTATCATTAAATCCTTAATGTCTAAAATACCCTTCACTCTATTTTCTCGAAAACTCTCAAAATCGGTAAAATAGCATAATATGCAAACATAACATATTAACACATAAATTTCACAATTAAAATAATAAACACCAAAATAAATCAAAAGACTCAACAAAATTGTGGAATCAGAATCGGGGCGTTACATCAGGCCTTCAGTAGCTTTCCAATTTCACTTCCAAACATACTGTATTGTCCACTTTTTCGCTCTGATTCTTCCTGATTGCTTACCTGAACCTAAAAACAATGGAACTACCAAACCAACGCATAAAATGCGATAAAAGCAAATAAAATGCAACTAAACATATAAGAAGGTTAACTCAAAATATCGGTAAAATAACGCATAAAAATCACTGATCACTAAGGTACTCATTGAGAACACTTGTAATTAGAGGGGTCAAAAAAGTCCTATATGACAAAGTCCTAATATTTAGGCCCCTTGTTGGCCCTCATTTTTTAGTCTCCTACTACATAAATATTTTTTTTGGCCTCTTATTTTTAAGCCCCCCTCATACTTTTGCTTTGTATGGGGCCTCCTAACTAATGGCCTCAAAATCTAATTAGTTTGTACCAAAATATTTTAGTTTTTTTAATTATTCTTTTTTAAAAAATAAATTCTTTTAGAATTTTAAAAATAAATAAAAAATATCTTTAAAAAATCTAACTTTTTCATTTAAAAAAATCGAGTGTTTTTCGAAAATAAAAAGGTCAATCTTTTATCAAAGATAAAGGCCGAACTTTTTTATAAAAAAAAATTAATTTTTTTTAGCAAAATGCCACCTTCTGAAATGCAATGTACGAAACTACCACCCATTGAAAAAAAATATACAAATTTGCCACACATTCAGTAGGGGCTCGTCCAATGGAAGGACGAACCTGTGAAAAGTTCTTCCCCATGAAGGGGCTCAGCCAACCAAATGACGACCCCTTGAATGCTCCGTTTTTTTTATTTATTTAAATATAAAACTCAATTTAAAATATATATTTAATTGTTTTATAAATATTAAATACTCTTTTAATGATTTAAACCATTAAAAAAATATATAATAGACATTACAAATTAAGAAATATTTTTTAAAATAATATAAAAAACAAACAAATTAATTTAGACGGGCCGATTTGACGGGCCTACTACATATTCCGCATCTTCTCTTTTCTTTCTCAGGATCATCCATTTCGGTTCTAATTCTTGTACTATTTGGACGTCTTTTCTTATTCCTTCGCATTGTCTCGTCATGGCAAAGAGTAAATCCTTCATATGTTGGTCAATTTTCGTGGTGTGGAAGTCCAAGAAAGCATTCGCTGTAGACTTTGAATACACTCAGAACCTTGAAAACATCTGGTATGTGCATGTTGTGGTCTTAGCGTATACTAGCACGTGCTGTGATTACGTGGGAGCAAGGTAAATGAAATACTTGAAACCTCCCACAATCGCACCACCCTCTCCTGATATCAATGCTAAAAGTACCTAAAGGTTGGCCGTCATGTTGATTAATCCTTTCGGCCACCATAAAACAGAATCTCTCGCGATCAAATTGGATGACATATGGCTGCTAGATTTACTCGCTTCGTCACTCCAATTCCTCGACCTAATTTTGATTTCTCTTACCCCCAATCACAACACAAAACATTTAATCATTCACTATCTCAACCAACTTCTACTGGCCGTATTGACGATGTTTATTTCCCTCCCATCCAACAAATCCCTCCAACCACCTTCAACCAACCATCCCAGACAGTCCCCAACTATCTCCTAACTGATGATCAACTTAAAGAATGGTCAGGTTTTTCTGTTACTGATGTGGACATGGTCGATACATCACATCAACATGAAAATGTATGTGAAGATGAAGAGTTGTCTTCCGACTCTACTCCATCACCACCAAGAGAGCAACCAAAAGAGTTAGGCAAGAGAAAACGTGTGAAAAAGAGTAAAACCTGTGGAACTGGGGGTCATTTACGTAGACAAAAATGATGTATTTTTTTTACTCATTCGTATTAATAAAATTGCTTTTATATATGATTTTATTTAATAAAAAAATTATTTTAATTAATTACATAATTAATTGAATAATATAAATTTTTTTAATAAGATTACAAAATTAATTAAATTATATATTTTTTTTATGTTTTAAATCATTAAAAGATTATTTAATATTTATAAAACAATTAAATATATATTTAAAATTGAGTTTTATATTTAAATAAAAAACCCGAAGCCTTCAAGGGGCCGTCCTTTAGTTGGCCGAGCTCCTTCATGGGGAAAAAGCTTTTCGCAGGTTCGTCCTTCCATTGGACGAACCCCTACTAAATGTATCGCAGATTCGTATATTTTTTTTTTTCAACTAGTGGTAGTTTGGTAAAAAAAATCAAAATAATTTACTTTTTTTAGTTAAAAAAGTCAAGTGTTTTTCGAAAAAAAAAAAAGAAGTTGATTTTTATTAAAAAAAGAATAATTTTTTTCAAAAAAAAAATGACTTCTTTAAAAATAAAAAGTCAATTTTTGTGGGAAAAATTGATTTTTCCGAAATAAAAATCCGATTTTATTGAAAATGAAAAAGATCGAACTTTTTTTGAAAAAAATTAATTAATTTTTTAGGAAGTTAAATATAGTCAATGTTTTTCGAAAATGAAAAAAGGTCGTTTTTGTTTGAAAATAAAAAAAAAAAGTAGTTTATTTTTGTAAATTGAAAAAAGTCGATTTTTTTCAAAAATAAAAAAAGTCGATTAATATCAAAAATAAAAATAGATGATTTTTACAAAAATAAAAGTAGTCGAATTTTATGTAAAAATAAATTGATTTTTCGACAAATAAATAAAATCATTTTTTTAAGGTTTAAAATAGTCAATTTTTTCGAAAGATAGAAATAGTTAATTTTTTTTCGAAAATAAAAATAGTCGATTTTTTCGAAAACAAAAATAATCAAGTTTTCTCCGGAAAAATAGTCGGTTTTTCTGAAAATATAAAAGTTAATTTTTTTCAAAAAACAAAATTGAATTTTTAAAAAAGAAAACTATTTTTTTTTTGAAAATTAAAAAAAAATGATTTTTTTTTTAAATAAAAAAATTTCATTTATTCTGAAAAAAAAATCATTTTTTAAATTAAAAATTAATTTTTTTTTGTCAAAGAGTCAACTTTTTAAAAATGTTGGGGCCTTGAGGCTTTTCTTAAATATTAGGGGCCTTTAGGTTAGGGTTCATTTATCTTTAAAAGTTTGAACGCCCTATATTTTTAGGGTCTTATAATTTTGGTCTCATCCCCCTAATTTTACAGCTCTACTTCTAATCAATCTAAAAGTCTCTTTATTTTTATTTTTATTATAACTAGAAAAGGACCCACGCATTTTTATTTTTATTATAACTAGAAAAGAAATCGCGCGATGCACGAGTGGTAAAGAAGGTCGTGCGCGTAGTAAATAGAAGTTGTTGAAATAAAATAAGATTTTATTTATAAGAGATATTATTTATTATGAAAACTCTATAATATAGACAATACGATTAGCATAACAAAAGGAAATAGTCTATTTTTAATTGAAAAGTAATACATTTATAAATAAAGGAAATGCAAGGGTAGAAGTGACTCGTTGTCAGAGGATAATATCTGAAGTTGATTGTTGCTACTATTGTTTTTTCAGTTCCCTTTGATATGCGTTTCATCATCTGATGATGTTATAATTAGCCTTCGTTTAACACTGCGAGTTTTTCTTTTTCTTTTCTTGTATGGTTTACCATTGATGTTGTCTGTCATCAATTTCTCTTCCACGTTCTTCTTCTTTTTCTTCTTCTTTGTGACCTTCTTTATTTTGAATCATCGGAGGTGATATGGACTCCTATATGTAATAAGTATATTGTTAGTATTCATAAAGTTAGTAAGTAGTATATTTGTATAATTATAATATAGATTCAGTTACATGTTAATAGGTGTTTTTAGAATTGATTCTTGCATAATAGTGGTTGGTATAAAAGTTGGTGACCTTAACAATTTTATTCCTATGAATAAATTATGTGTAGAATATTTTGATTAATTTTTATTTAATATATGAACTTAATTATCTAATATAATCCTTATAATTCTCCTGTCTCAATTATCAATAATGATAAATTTCACACCAAAAATAAATTATAAACTTAAACATGTAAATCTCATCAAAGTTAATGATAAATTTCACACAAAAAATAAATTACAAATTTTTAAAATTAGAAGAAATAATAGTTAGAGTAAACAAGTGAAAGAAACAAACCTTAATTTATCGCGTATGTAAAATTATTCATGTAAAGAAGAGGGATTAAGCAAGTGGATACTTTTTTTTTCTTTCATATTAGTTAATCTCAGTTGTCTAGCGATTATTAAAAGAATAATTAGTGGTTACGAAAGTATGAACAACGGTGAATTAATATATTATAAGTTGATTACTCAAATGTCCCTCCCATTGCCAAAACAATAACTAATAACAACGTGGTAGTTAAATAAACAATTAAAAGAACCATCTTTGGTTCTATAAATAAGGTCCAATTATCATATACATTCAATCACACTAAACCATTCATTTTCCAATCCCTCATACCAATCTCACACACATAGCAAAACAACATACAATGGCACCAGCGAAGACTCTCACATATCTAGCTCAGAAAAGCACCCTAGATTCCACTTTCATTCGAGACAAAGACCAGCGTCCCAAAGTTGCTTACAATCAATTCAGCAATGAGATCCCAGTCATTTCTGTCGCCGGAATCGACGACGTCGATGGACTAAGAACACAGATTTGCGACAAGATCGTAGAAGCTTGCGAGAACTGGGGTATCTTCCAGGTTGTTGACCATGGTGTGGATTCAAACCTCATTTCTGAGATGACTCGCTTTGCCAAAATGTTCTTCGATTTGTCACCAGAAGAGAAGCTTCAGTTTGACATGTCCGGTGGTAAAAGAGGTGGATTCAATGTCTCCAGTCATCTCCAAGTACGTAATAAACAAATTTTATACACTATTTTAGAGTTTTTATAAAATATATATGAAACAAGAGTTTTATACTAATTTGAAATTATTTTACAGGGTGAACCAGTGAAGGATTGGAGAGAGATAATGATATATTTTTCATACCCAATTAACCAAAGAGACTATTCAAGGTGGCCAAACAAGCCAGAAGGATGGAAAGCAGTTACTGAGCAATATAGTGAGAAGCTAATGAGTTTATCATGCAAGTTATTGGAAGTTCTATCAGAAGCTATGGGGTTAGAAAAAGAAGCTCTAACAAAAGCATGTGTTGATATGGATCAGAAGCTTGTGGTGAATTACTACCCAAAATGTCCTGAACCAGATCTTACTCTTGGGCTGAAACGACACACTGATCCAGGCACAATAACTCTGTTGCTTCAAGATCAAGTTGGTGGTCTTCAAGCAACTAGAGATAATGGCAAGACGTGGATCACTGTTAAGCCAATTGAAGGTGCTTTCGTTGTCAATATTGGAGATCATGGTCACGTGAGTGCACTTTTTTTTATTACTTTAGATATGTTTTTGTTTTTTTTATTATTAGTTTAATATACTCGTGGCACATGCGTGCAGTATTTGAGTAATGGACGGTTCAAAAACGCTGATCATCAAGCAGTGGTGAACTCAAACTACAGTCGTTTATCCATTGCAACATTTCAGAATCCAGCACCAGATGCAACTGTATACCCTTTGAAGATTCGAGAAGGAGAGAAATCTATGTTGGAGGAACCAATTACTTTTTCTGAAATGTACAGGAGGAAGATGAGCAAGGATCTTGAGATTGCTAGGATGAAGAAGCTGGGTAAGGAGGAAAAAGAACTCATGGAACTACAGAAGGCAAAACATGAAGCCAAGCCTCTTAATGAGATCCTTGCTTAGATTTAGTTTATACTATAATTATAATTTATTTTAACGTTAAATTTATGTTTATCCTATGAATAATTATGTTTAATTTGTCCTTGTTGTTGATGTATGATGATATCTTCACTAATATTAATATTATTACGTATGTATGTAACTATTGTTCCTTTTGCAATGTGAGACCAAAATCATGAATGGTAAAATAAATAGATGAACGTTCTGATACACTAAAGTTTTATATCTAATATCCTACCTACACTTAATTAATGCTCTTAAAACAATACCCTAGGCAATTTGGAACGAACAAGTAAACAAACAATATTTAAAAATCTTTAAAAGAATCCCCAAGAATTTCTTGCTTGTATGAACAAGGCATCCCAAGAATCTTTTACTTGTATGAAGAAGGCAAAGACTTTGAGAAAAAAATGTTTTTTTTTAATGTGCACATGATGTTAAAATTTTTAATGTGCACATGATGTTAAAATTGAAGTTAATTAAGAATGTGCACATGATGTTCGAATAATATCACTATCATCAAGTAACTTGAATATTTTCTGCTCAGTGTAACATATCATCTAGTCATTGAACCACATTGTTGATCTTATTGCATGCGTAATAACAATTGCATCAAACTTCCCACAAAGATTTCCATTTTCACTCAAGTGTCACATCCCATTAAATGACTCCAATTTACTGATCCAGCACGGTCTCTCAGCATTCACCAACCGAGTCTGCACAAGATACATATTCTATCACAAAAATAAAATAGAACCACTAAAAAAACCAAAATCTATAAACAATAACAACACGAAAGTTACAAGAACTTATTTTTACTTGAAAACCATATCAAAAAGCCTTCATAAACTATAATAAATCAATCAAAATTTTGCAGAATTTAACAAAAAAATTTCTTAGGTGTGAGTATTCCCTTTTTGGTTAAAAAAAGTTAATTAAAGGCTTGTGATTATCATATCAGTGTTTATGTCTAAATTTTTCTATTAAAAAAGATAAAATAAAGGAAAATAATTTTCATGTAAGTTACAAGTTATTTTCATAAGATATCTAAAAAAGTTTAAGGAAATAAATTGAAAACAACTTATGGACATTGTTTTTATAACTCAGTCAATACAAATAAAACCTTGATAGTTAAAAGTAAAGGGTGAATAATGAGTAAGCAATGACGAATAACTTCAGACAGTAACGAATCAACAAGAACCTTGTCCCATTAGTCATTATATATCTCGGAGTCAAGGATAGAATTGGAAGAAACCCACCACCATTATGAAGCTCTCCTACAGTACCCAACCACTCTTTAACCAAACCCTTATTAACAATTTTAGCAAAACAAGAATCAATAACAGTAAAAAAACTGAGCAACATGATCAAATATCAAAAAATGTTTATCATTAGCATCAATAACCCTAGTTCCCAATCTTCCACCAAGTCCATGAATACCCTAAATATAAACGACAATGTTATGTTGTAGAAGAATGAAATTAAAATAGACATAGGAGTAAATTAGTAACTCACAGTATCTAAAACGGTTGAGCGAACACTAGTGTTTATCTAAGTAGATAGCGCAAAGGAGGTCGGAGATGCCAGCATCGATGATGGCAACATGAGGTTGGTCGAAGAAAGGCGCGGTGAAAGTGACTTGTTCTTGTTTGAAGGTTTTTTCTGAGAATTGAATTTCTAGAAGTTCTGTAGGATGATTTTCTATGAGGTTTGGAGGGTGGAGGTTTTTGCATCGTGACTATGATGAGTGTTGAGGAAGACGATGGACAACTGTATTTCAGTTTTTTTTACCCTCTGACCCAAAAAGTAATTGGGCCAGAGCATGGGCATGTGCTCAGTCTGGCCGGGCCCAAGAACCACCATTGTTATTTGGTATATTCTTAATGATAAGTTTATTATGATTATGTATATGTTGTGATGTGGATTATCTGGTATGTTCTTAATGATAAAATTTTCATCAACTCGTCAATAAATATGAAAGAGGTGGAGGATAAAAGTATATTTTTGGCGTGGAGTTGGTTTCATAACAAATTCCATATGTCCCTTCTCTCCTTCTACGATTAGCTTAAAAACCCTATCGTGTGTCTGAATAAATAGCAGATCGAGATTCCTGGCCTGTCCTCTAGTACTCAATGATTTGTTGATGTTTCCTTGAGATTTTGGTTTGTTGTTAGTGGTTTTGTTGTATGAGCTCTAACTTGATTTTGGTTGGGTAGTATATCATTGTGTGAGTGGGTGTGGGGCTTTCTTTTTCACCTTTTGTTTTTGTGTTGTAGTGTCTGCAAGTAATTTCTTTTCTCTTTCTATTTTATCTTGGTTTTTGTGTGTTCTCTTATTTCATGTTGTATGTTGTATGTTGTATGACGACAAAGATCATGAAGAGGAGGATGCTAATCATGAGGAGGTTCATATCATTGATGCAAGATATTATATTTGGCCCAGCAGAAATTTGTACGTTATAAACTTTTATTTAAGTATGCATGTTTCCATTTTTTATATAAACTTTTATTTAATACTAATTTAAATTATTGATGTTTAGTTTCAAGCCGAGTCAGACAGCTGCCTAGTGTATAAGTTATGTAATTCAACAAATGTATAAAAAAGCTTGGAAGAGATTTAAAGATATTGACTCGAAAGAAAAATAAGCTTAGTTTAGACTATTTAAGGTATAATTAATTTATTTTTTAAGTTATTGTTGTTTAAGTTACTTTTTTTATTATAATTACCTCACTATTTATTTGAATGTCATAAAACATTATAGGAAAAGTGTACGTAAGAACAAATGAACTAGAGAAAGGTTTAAAAAGTTATTATGGCAGAACATCATTTCGACTTTCTGACATGCTACAACATGCTAGAAAGTGTTGGGAAAGAGAAAATAGTTGTCCCAAGTGGATAGGCAAAGAAGTATTTGATGAACTTCTTGTCTATTGGAATACAACTGGTTTTAAGGAAAGATCTGAAAAAGCAAAAAAAGTGAGAGCATGTGAAAAAGGGGAAGCCTTAATGCAGTTGGTGAAGGTAGGAAAAACACTTAGAAGGGGGGGGGGAGGGGGGTTGAATAAGGGTTTCAAAAACAACTATGATAATAGAAAATGACAAGTTATTTTATCCTGGTTCGTTTGAACTCAAACTACTCCAGTCCACCCGCCAAGGTGATTTTGCCTTTCTCAAACAAGGACTTAATCCACTAAATCAAAACCTGATTACAGTGATATCACTAAGAAAAACTGTCTTAGTCTTCTCAAGAATCCTGACCACAACTTGGTCTCTCAAGGAACTTTTACAAGGATGAAATACAATGTGTTTAAGTGCTTCTAAAAAGCTATTATCACAACTGTGATTTTTACACAAAATGAAGACAAATAAAACAAGTATGTTTGCTGAAGAAAGTTGTTTGAATATGTTCTTTGATTGTTTTGTATTCCTTCGTCACTTGAAATGATGTTGAAGACTTGCTTAAATAGACTTCACATCCATTTCTCAAAGAACGTGCAGCTGTTGCCTTTTGTCTTCTTTGACTTTTCCTTCACAGAAGAGGAATGTTCAGAGATATCCTTTTTGTCTAAATTCCTGTGCCATACATGAATGAGGAATAGTGTCATTGGTAGACATTGGGTTTAGCAATGAATCTTTCTTGAACAATATCTTTTCAAATGAACATATATGAAAAATGATCTTGCATCAGATACTCTGATGATGTTCCATGTTCTTCTTTATCAGAGTCACTCTATCCAGAGTTATGCAGCAAAGTGCTTAGCGTGAATGAATGATCAGAGTTGACTTGATTCTCAGAGCCTCTGTAGGTTGCAGCGTTGAGTTCTTACAGAGTCTTCTGAATATACTGAATCTTTATACTCTGCGCTCAGAGTCTTCTGTAGGTAGCGCTTCAGAGTCTCCTGTAGCTTTGCTCAGAGTCTTCTGTGATGCGCTTTTTACACCCAGAGTTTTGCGTTATATAATGTTCAGAGGAATTATTTTTGTCTTCAGATGAATATTTATTTGATATCTGAAACAAAAACACTTGAACAAAATTAGAGTATATATTTTCTCTATACAAAATTTCATTAATGTTATCATCAAAACATTGAGATATATTAAGAACCAATCTGTGTTCTAACAATCTCTGCCTTTTTTATGATGACAAAAACTATACAAAATTTTGTTCAAAACAAGAAAAAATATATATCTCCCCCTGAGATTATGAATCTCCCCCTGAAATGATTACTGCTAGAAAAAAATAAATACTTCCCTTTCAGCACTTCAATTCTTTTCAGAGTCAGATCAAGCTTGTGGACTCTCAGAGATTGTTCAGAGTTACTTCTATGAAATTTGTCAGATGAATAGTTATAGCTCTGAAACACTGAATATATGATTAGATATATTTTAAAATGCCTGAGTTGCCATTTAGTATCTATTTATGTGAACTATCAAAATTTCCATTTTCTCCCCCTTTTTGTCATATCAAAAAGTGATTTTAAAAAAATCATTTAAGACAAAAATTTCAGAGTAAGAAAACAAATATAAGATATAAAACAGAAGGAACAATCACATATATATTGATAAGCTCAGAAAATAGCCAAAAACAAACAATTATCACAGAAGTGCACAAACAAGACAATTAAGTGGAATGAGATGCTAAAATCTTCAGAAGATCAGTTATCTCAGAAGTTGAATTTTCTTGCTTTGCCATCCAAGTCTTGATCTCAGATGTTGATACTTCTTACTTAGCCATCCAGTCCTTGATTTCTTCTGTTGTCTGTTCTTGCTTTACCATCCAGGCCTTAATTTCACTTGTTGCATCCTCTTGCTGAGCAAGTTTTTCTTTCACATCTTCAGAGACTTTCACTTCTTCAGAAGCTTTCTCATCTGTTAACTCTTGAATAATCACAGAATCAAAGATAAGAGTTTCTTCAGTAACCAGAGCTTCTGGAGTAACTTCATCAGTCAGAAGACCTTCACTAGACTGAAGTGCATCCGATTTTTCAGAAGAAGAACACACA